AATAATTTGCCCATTATGTCATCTTTTTTAATCTCCAAATATTGGTGTTACTATGTGCCTTAAAAACAGTATACAGAGCAGGTATTTTGACTGGTTTAAATGAAGCCATTAATTGTCTTCCTAAGCTTCACTCACTCTGGCTTCTGTTCATGGGCAAAGGTTTTTGAACACATTGTCAACAACAAATGGCCTGGCTTATTAAAGGTCAGCTCTCCGTAAAATCAATTCGTCTCAAAAACAGACACTGTAAGACATTGGCTAGAATCGGCATACTCATTGCTCATTGCAAGATGTGATATGTGACAACAAGCATAGATCTCTCAGTGTTCTTCGAGAATCAATTTCATTAACTTAGCTTTGCACATATAATGTGCTAGTATACCTGATAAATTGCAGTTTATAGTTTCTACAATAAAGAGACAGTTATGTTGAATATTGCAATTGTATTTCTATTCTTAATTTTACCTATAAAATATGGAACTATGATTTTTTTTTTTTAATGGATGGATATGATTTTCAAAATGAACCCAGTAATGGTCACGTTACACTTCACTCACCAAGACTTCTGCCTTAGGCTAAAAATCTGACCATGTGTCAACATTCATTGGTCTGCCTAATTAGGGTCGATTGCTGCTAGACATTTGTTTATTTTGGCCTATTGATTGTTCATAGCTATATTTAATATATGATACACAATGCATTTAGACGAGATATGTCAGTGCTTCTGAACCTTATTTATCCACTTACTTTGCATACAGAGTCCATCAGTGCAGTTTTGAGACTGGAGGACGAGACCCTCGCAGTCCTTTCCACCATTCTTGGGAGCTGGATTGTTGCACTCCCTCCTCCTCCACTGTGTACACTCTGTTCCACAGGCTGACCACTTGCTCCAATCTGTCCAGACACCATCCACTAGAGGGAACGGATGGGGACCACGGGAATGAGAGACGGAAAAAAAGAGGGTTTAGAAGGAGGAGACTGAAGATAACGAATTCAATTATTTCCTAAACACTGTAAAATGTGGCATGGGAGAGTACACACATAAAAAGACAGAAATTGAATGCAGAAGCTGAGCACAGGACAAAAAATTGCCCAAATGTATACAGATACAATATGCCAGGATGTATTATGGAAAGAAGTATTCTAAATGAAACAGTCTTGAATAGAACAGAATACCAGTGCACAGTGTGGTGCAGGGCAGTTTGTGTATAGCCTGTCCGTCACAAGGCAGTCCTCCATTGAGAGGGGCAGGGTTAGTGCAGCTCCTGGTTCTTTTCTGGAAACCTCTTCCACAACGGCTGTTACACGGAGACCACTCTGTCCATGTCGACCAGCCCCCATTCACTGCGGAAACAGAGATCAGTCCCTTAATGAATACAGTGCTTTATCCACTTCTTAACTATGTAACGCCCACCCTCTTGAAGATACCATATTAGCAAGGGTTTCTGGGTATCTGTGGTCCACTCATCCATGTGTCCCAGAGCTTGGCGCTATTATATTGACCATGATTTGGAACGATAGGAATCTAAGGGCCTAGTCACACAGGCCTAGAGATTAGCTGGCAACCACTGGTTGCTAAGGTGGTGCAGCAACCTCGAGAAAATACACTCTCCAACCAGCTGGGGAATGCACATTTTCCTTAGTGACTGAAGATTTCTATAGCTTTCTATAGCTTAATACTGTATGCATATACAGTCAATAAAATAAGTTGAACTCAATCTTTATGACTACTTGAATCAGTGAATATGTTGTAGACTGTCTGAGATAATAAAAAAAAAAATGATGATGATGCAATCCGTGATTTTAAAATGCCGTTTTATTGAACTGAAATAATTATCTTAGAGAAGGCTGCATGTGTCTGGAAGCTGAGTTGAAATTTAAGCAAAAGAGCTGGATTTTCCTGAACATCAAAACTACACAGACAATCTGCATCCCTTCAAGTAGCCTGCAGCTACTGCAGCATGATTTTCCACTGCTGTGCTTACATTCAGAAATATTCCCACTGAAGGGCACAGACTGACACAAATATGCAAACACATTAAGCTGTATAGCTGGCTAAACACATGTTAAATGACCAGTTATCATGGGGCTCGGAAATTGCTTAACCCGGTGTAGGGGAGAGAGAGAGAGAGAGAGAGAGAGAGAGGTGAACTGCTGCTGGATGAATCCTGCGGTTTGTTTTCCATGGTTTCTTTGAAACTCTTCACCTCCTTTGTCTCTTTCTTTTTGCCTCATGTCTTTCACTTGTGCTGCTGTAAAATGCATCTGCATCCTCCTGTAATTAGACCTAGCTGTTTCTTTGTTGTTTAGCATTATTGTTTCTGTGTTTCAAGAGAAAATGTGGCAGGACAGTGCAGACAAAGATAAGAGCAGACTAGACAGGCAGCAGGAGAGAAATCAGCTATAAAGTTAGAATGAGAGAGAGTTGGCATCTGGAGGGGTGGAGTGGGTAGAAATTCCACTGCTGCATCTCGACAGCTCTGTCTCAGCCCAGTGGACAGTGCCCACTCCTTGCCTAAGACCTAATTAGAAATGAATCATCAGAAAGTAACCAGTAAATTCAACCACAGACACTGCAGCGTGTTGTGCGCTCTGCTGAGAAGGTGATTGGCTGCAGACTCCCATCTTTGCAGGACCTGTACACCTCCAGGACA